TATTCTATTTTACCTGGCTTTTGCAAAGGAAACATACAAACTTCCTGTTTTCTTCTGTCTCTTACTTTTTTGTGTTTATTTGGTTGTTGTTTTCTTATGTTGGTCAGATGTCGCAGTTTGTATGAGCGAGATGAAGCAAATGTGTTTGCAGAGCCATCTGTGGTCTCAGAGTGCCTGTTGCCACACCTATTGAATCTGAAGTTAAACATTACCCAGAATCCTCCACTCTCGCCAAGAACCTTGAGCACTGGGCCCGAAACAGTGCAGCCATTGTCAAAGAGAATCTCTCAATTTGTATGCAACTTCAATTAGGTATATATAAGATTTGCCAGATAACCATAATGATTGTTTTTCTTTATTATTGCATGAATTATCACTAATTAACTTCCTGATGCTCTGTTGTAATTGAATCAAAAACCTTATAATTACAATTAATATGATCTGTAATATTTATTTATTGTTTGTATGTAGTCGTTGTTGTATGTTTACGTGCCAATTATGTCTCTCGTTTGTTGTCTAGGCGATGTCCTGAATCCTGATTGGCTGAGTTTGCTAATAGAACCCCGTTTCCATGGCGCTCTTTCAGGCCTGTTCACTAGGGCGATTGTACCAGCTGCTCAAGAAGTGTGATTCCATACTTGACCCTTTGAGTTTATCTACAGACTTTCAGGATATTCACAGACGGTTTGTCCTAAATGGAGTCTTCCTTCCTCAGGTCTTCATTGATGCACTAAGGACAGATTAATCCAGTGTTGTCACAGATCAGGGTTGCATTATTGCAGTTACAGGCTTAATTGAGCACAAAAAATTGATTAGTCATTATTGATCTGGAGAAGCTGGCTCTTCATCGCCATATTGAGTGGAAACTATTCGAAAGGAAAAATAACAGTCCTTTGTTGTGCAATACAATATAGATAATAAAGAAAACTTGTCTACTTCACCAGCCAAAATCAAACACCAACTTCCAGATAATTCTCGAAGACAGCAGCTCTGTAAGTGTAGCACATCTAAATCTGAAATAGCTGAAAGATGCCATTGTTTCTGGATGGGTGGTGATTTCTGAAATAGAGCACACTGCAGGCGGGGACAAACAGACTGAGGCATCACAAAGACTCAGCAAGCATCTGAGGATGGTACATACATTTTTAGCCAAATCTCTCTTTTGAACCAAATGTGATTTATTCTTGTAAATTGATGTGTTTTATATATTTAATAAATAAAGATTGAATAGTTTTTAGAACTTGCTGGCTAACACTGATCTGTGATCCCAATAACAAACATTTGGTACTGTGTGCCAGAAAATGAATGCTGCTTATTTCTAGCTGATTGATGTTTTGATAGCCAATCTCTGAGACCTCAGAGACTCCTTGGTTTTATGTGGGGAGTGGTGGCTCACGGTTCGCTGTGATAACACTTCACAAGAGCCCAAACCGGTTTGAGCTGCCTCACACCAACCTCACAGCATCTTCTGATACACACACAGCAGCTGCTCTCATTCACTCTTTTCCTGTGGTTCATTCTATCCTAATCCTTTCTTATATTCCCACTACATATTTTATCATTTTATCCCACTGGTTTTATATTTTTGCGTCTTTCTTTCTCACTCTACCCCTTTTTCATCCTCATTGTGTCTTTGTGTAAGCCACTTCTATACTCCGGTTTCCACTGCAGGGGTAATGCATCAAACAGTGATGTAATGGTTTTTGCGGCAACAGTAGAGTTGCCCTACGATAACAGCAGGGGAAGAGTGCATGCTTTATGCCACATTTGAGGGTCCTCTCCCAGGTTAAGTGTGCTTTTTCTGCCCTCAGCACAGGGCTAGTTCATGATTCATGGTTGGAATATGTACTCAGTTGCTGTGCAACGCTCCTGTGTGTCACAGGACAGTGTTAGGACGCAGTTGGGTATCCCAGTAGCCATCAGTGGAGCAGATGGTCTGAGTTTACAGCAGACGCTGAAGTGATTCGCACTCCCCTATGAATGCTGCAATTGTATTATAAATGACATATTGATTATTTTAGAGTCTAGAGGACATTCAGGTGGATTTCTTGGGCGGGTGGTATTTTAAAATGTATAAAATCTGAAAAAAATAACAGATAATGACATTCAAGAGCAGTCTTTGTATTATTGTTTGATGAAATATAACATTTTATATTAATTTTAGAAATATTAGAAATAATGTTTTAGCATTTATAATGAGAAAAAGGATTTGGAGAAAATTTGTCTTTTTGCCACTTTAAAAAAATGAGCTCATAACTTTCAAATGGGCTATAAATGGACTATTTTTGTTTCTTTATTAATTCAGGCTATTTTAAAAGAGAGTTGTTGAATGCGAGACATCTGTGTGTGCAAATTAAATATATGGAAGTCATTCAGGCTTGGCTTTTTCCACTCATTATCTTCTGTCTTCTCCATACTAACCCACATTTCACTTCCTGTTTACCTCATATGGAGAACCAGTATTGACTGAAGAAATGGTAAATTAATCTGCCACTGGATTAGTTCTTTTTTATTCACAGTAGTTATGTTTGATTTTAATGAATCTTTGGACTGTACTATTCATGGTAATGGTATAGAACTGTTTGTCCTTGGTTCTATTTTGGAGTAAATAGGAAGTTTTATCATGTTTATTCACTATATTGTTTATGACAATGCATGCGTGTTCTATTCTGAAAGCTTTCAGTATGTTTACATTATTATTATTATTATTTAAATAACACTTTTTAAACAAACCAGTCAAACAGCATTTCATTTTCAGGTACAATTCCTGGAACAACCAGGAGTAATAGCTGGATGTCAAAAACAGCAAGGACATAATCAACAAACTTTAAAACAAAGAAATGCTGTAGTCATTGAAAGTCTGAGCTCTCTCCCACTCATCTGCTTGGGTCCACAACTCACAAAAAAAGCTGCCAACTTGACTGGGGTTGGAAACTTTGTGTAATTTCTTGGAAAAGAAAGTGGGTCAGTTAACCTTGCAGGAGTACCATGGAAAGGAAGCAGACAATCTGGTCTAATTAAATCTGATTGCTTACTTCCATGCTCTAAAATGCAGTGAAAACCCTCAACATACCTTCCAAAATGTAAAAAAATTCATATCTATCTGATACATCAAGACATGGTACCTAGAGATTAATGGTGAACTGTATCTCTAATGAGTTAAAGCAGAAAATGTGACACTGCAGTTACGGTGCTAAACTGCAGAACTATTAAAAACAGACTGTTGTATTCATAATAGTTGTGTACTGTACTTGACAAAGAGGAATGTTAGTACAGAGTTGTCCAGAATGTACTACTGCGACACTGACAAAAAGAGTATAACTATGAACAAAACAATAGAGATTGTGTGTGTTTTTCATCCGTTCTGACAGCAGTTTTAGAAGCTGAATAGCCTACACGAATTGTGTCACATCACTAATCAACCCTGCGTTTTCCTCCTTTTAATAGTGTCTCCTCAGGGGACCCCGTTTCCTTGTAAATAATAGAGGCACTCATTATTCCTGATCTCCTAATGAAGTTCTGCTCTGTCAGATTTGTAGAATGGATGAAGTGAATGGATTGATAGTGCTGTAATGATGAATTTGTGTACAGGGTTTGGCCTATTTCATTCCTTGCAAACACATGATGCATGGAAGCTCATTCAGTCACACAGCTTTCATCAGAAAAGAGGCATGCAGTGAAAACCCTCAACATACCTTCCAAAATGTAAAAAAAATTCATATCTGATACATCAAGACATGGTACCTAGAGATTAATGGTGAACTGTATCTCTAATGAGTTAAAGCAGAAAATGTGACACTGCAGTTACGGTGCTAAACTGCAGAACTATTAAAAACAGACTGTTGTATTCATAATAGTTGTGTACTGTACTTGACAAAGAGGAATGTTAGTACAGAGTTGTCCAGAATGTACTACTGCGACACTGACAAAAAGAGTATAACTATGAACAAAACAATAGAGATTGTGTGTGTTTTTCATCCGTTCTGACAGCAGTTTTAGAAGCTGAATAGCCTACACGAATTGTGTCACATCACTAATCAACCCTGCGTTTTCCTCCTTTTAATAGTGTCTCCTCAGGGGACCCCGTTTCCTTGTAAATAATAGAGGCACTCATTATTCCTGATCTCCTAATGAAGTTCTGCTCTGTCAGATTTGTAGAATGGATGAAGTGAATGGATTGATAGTGCTGTAATGATGAATTTGTGTACAGGGTTTGGCCTATTTCATTCCTTGCAAACACATGATGCATGGAAGCTCATTCAGTCACACAGCTTTCATCAGAAAAGAGGCTAATATTATGAATTTGCTTTAAATCGTAATTTGCCAAGCTAAGGAAATTTGTCTCATAAAAAGGCCAGGTTGTATCATCTGAAAATTAAATCAAAACACATAATATTATAATATTCATAGATGGCATAATACAAATATAATAATATAAAAAATAAAATAATAATAATATAATAAATAACATAATCATAATTTATATAATAATAATCATAATTGTAGAGTTTGATACATTTTAATGTATGAATTATGCTATATAAAATATATTTAAACACAATACATAATTCTATAAGAACGATTACATATTAATACAAATGTAATTTATATATAAATTCTTTCTCTCTCTATATATATATATAATATTGAATTTATATTTTATTATTAACTAATACTAACATTTAAAGAATACATTTATATAGAGAGAATTTTCTTAATACCAATTACTTTTGTCAAATGTGAAACATTTGTGTTTTTATTACAATATTTCATAATATATGAATAGTTGTTGTTGTAATTATTATTTTTATTATTCAAATAAACACAATCTATCGTTTGCTGGAACATGTAAATACAATCTATCATTTGCTGGAACATTCCGGCCATTTCGTCCATTATAATTCGCATGTACCGTGCATCATTGTGAGAGAAACTGTGTCTCTAGGACCCGGAGGACGCGGCGTCACTGCAAAGGGACTTTCTGCTATCAGTGCACAGACAGACGGGCTGTTTACCAGCTCAGAGCTCAAAACAAGAGCACGAGAGCAGTGTGGCTCGATTTACCACAGGCTCTTCCTTTTAAACATCGTTTTCGTTTCGATTTGATTAGTCATGAATAATAATTGTTCTTGTTGTTAATAACATCGAGGAATGGAAATGTGTCAACTGCTGTACTTTGTGTTTCTGTTCTGCTCTGGTTTGGTGGACTGTTTGTCTGTTGTTGAAGGTAAGATCCCTTTCAACGTGTTGCAATAACTTTCTAAAAAAATTTTTATATATATATATATTATTTTTTTCACACCATTTTGCATTTTACATCAGTGTTTTTACATGATCACTCCATATCTGTTCATAACAAAGCATGTTTTTTTGGAAGAGTATTGATTATTGTTTGGTGTAGTAAATGTTGTAAATTAAACATGAAAATGTAACCACCTTATTCTAAATTGAATGGAACTGAAACCAGTCTTCTAAATCACACAGAGTGTATAACATCTAATGGAGAGGACTATAGGGGAATGCAACAGAAGACATCCACAGGGAATATCTGCCTCAACTGGAAGAGTCTAAACTCACAGACAGGTAACTTATGTTTCTACTTTTCATGGCATATTTTTACTATAAAATTTGAAATCAAACAACATCCCAAAACAATGTTATCATATTTGAGGAAATCAAGCTAGGATACATACATCATGCATATTTACAGACTGTATCCATTAATTAGAGAATGCAGTTTGCAAACTGTCAATGTTGCTGCTTATAGATTTTGTAAATTATAGTTATGTATGATGTGGGCATGCTGCCCAGATGATATTATGAGCCCAACTCAAAAAGCTGAGCAATCACTCTTCCATAATCCAGACAAGGGCTTTTATGGGGATGTGCGTGTGGGACACATGCTCACACAAACAAAATATGTTTAGATAGAAAATATGAAGTATCCATCAAATCCTATTTTAAATGTTCATCGTTTTGTTTACTTCTTGCCAGATGTTGGAGATCACAATTTCTGTCGCAACCCAGATGGTTCAGAGAAGCCCTGGTGCTATGTCTCCGGGTCCGATGGAGCGACCAGAAAAGAATCATGTGACATAAGGACATGCCAAGGTAGCCATATTCTCTCCTAATTAAACCAAATATTTTTTTTAAATCACAGCAGCTCATATACATTCATATAAATGTTCATTTTCTAAATTATTGACATTAAATTAAACTTTTTTTAATAAAATAAATATCACAAATCACTTGGTGTTTTGGGGGGGGGGAAGAGATAAACACTCCAGCATGAAATGCGATTTTGATTTAGGAAAGTGATTTATTTAACTCATGTCTTTCTCAGGCATTTCACAACTGGGTCTTACTAACGTGCTACTCTGTTTCAAAGATCTCATACTTTTAGCTACACGCTGTTTCTTCCAAGAACCTAGAGGAAGCTAGTTTAAAAATATTACATAATGCAGAAATGTGCAAACTTACTTTTTGTGGGAAAAAGCAAATGGCATTAAGAAAACATTCTCTAGGGACTGAACAAGGTCAGCACCAAATATTTTAATGCGTTCACTTTCCCTAAAGCTTACTCTAAACACTGGCACTAAACAAAACTTTTCTTGTGCTATTAATAATTTTTCCATAAGCCAGTTGTCTTTTATTTGGTTTATTAAAAAAAAAACTCTTATTGAGACTATTGGGCCATTTTTAATCCACGCTGATGGAGTTTCCTTAGATTTATCTTTTACCCTGGCATGCTGCAAGGAGATATTGCAACGCTCCTGTGTGTCACAGGACAGTGTTAGGACGCAGCTGGGTATCCCAGTAGCCATCAGTGGAGCAGATGGTCTGAGTTTACAGCAGACGCTGAAGTGATTCGCACTCCCCTATGAATGCTGCAATTGTATTATAAATGACATATTGATTATTTTAGAGTCTAGAGGACATTCAGGTGGATTTCTTGGGCGGGTGGTATTTTAAAATGTATAAAATCTGAAAAAAATAACAGATAATGACATTCAAGAGCAGTCTTTGTATTATTGTTTGATGAAATATAACATTTTATATTAATTTTAGAAATATTAGAAATAATGTTTTAGCATTTATAATGAGAAAAAGGATTTGGAGAAAATTTGTCTTTTTGCCACTTTAAAAAAATGAGCTCATAACTTTCAAATGGGCTATAAATGGACTATTTTTGTTTCTTTATTAATTCAGGCTATTTTAAAAGAGAGTTGTTGAATGCGAGACATCTGTGTGTGCAAATTAAATATATGGAAGTCATTCAGGCTTGGCTTTTTCCACTCATTATCTTCTGTCTTCTCCATACTAACCCACATTTCACTTCCTGTTTACCTCATATGGAGAACCAGTATTGACTGAAGAAATGGTAAATTAATCTGCCACTGGATTAGTTCTTTTTTATTCACAGTAGTTATGTTTGATTTTAATGAATCTTTGGACTGTACTATTCATGGTAATGGTATAGAACTGTTTGTCCTTGGTTCTATTTTGGAGTAAATAGGAAGTTTTATCATGTTTATTCACTATATTGTTTATGACAATGCATGCGTGTTCTATTCTGAAAGCTTTCAGTATGTTTACATTATTATTATTATTATTTAAATAACACTTTTTAAACAAACCAGTCAAACAGCATTTCATTTTCAGGTACAATTCCTGGAACAACCAGGAGTAATAGCTGGATGTCAAAAACAGCAAGGACATAATCAACAAACTTTAAAACAAAGAAATGCTGTAGTCATTGAAAGTCTGAGCTCTCTCCCACTCATCTGCTTGGGTCCACAACTCACAAAAAAAGCTGCCAACTTGACTGGGGTTGGAAACTTTGTGTAATTTCTTGGAAAAGAAAGTGGGTCAGTTAACCTTGCAGGAGTACCATGGAAAGGAAGCAGACAACCTGGTCTAATTAAATCTGATTGCTTACTTCCATGCTCTAAAATGCAGTGAAAACCCTCAACATACCTTCCAAAATGTAAAAAAAATTCATATCTGATACATCAAGACATGGTACCTAGAGATTAATGGTGAACTGTATCTCTAATGAGTTAAAGCAGAAAATGTGACACTGCAGTTACGGTGCTAAACTGCAGAACTATTAAAAACAGACTGTTGTATTCATAATAGTTGTGTACTGTACTTGACAAAGAGGAATGTTAGTACAGAGTTGTCCAGAATGTACTACTGCGACACTGACAAAAAGAGTATAACTATGAACAAAACAATAGAGATTGTGTGTGTTTTTCATCCGTTCTGACAGCAGTTTTAGAAGCTGAATAGCCTACACGAATTGTGTCACATCACTAATCAACCCTGCGTTTTCCTCCTTTTAATAGTGTCTCCTCAGGGGACCCCGTTTCCTTGTAAATAATAGAGGCACTCATTATTCCTGATCTCCTAATGAAGTTCTGCTCTGTCAGATTTGTAGAATGGATGAAGTGAATGGATTGATAGTGCTGTAATGATGAATTTGTGTACAGGGTTTGGCCTATTTCATTCCTTGCAAACCCATGATGCATGGAAGCTCATTCAGTCACACAGCTTTCATCAGAAAAGAGGCTAATATTATGAATTTGCTTTAAATCGTAATTTGCCAAGCTAAGGAAATTTGTCTCATAAAAAGGCCAGGTTGTATCATCTGAAAATTAAATCAAAACACATAATATTATAATATTCATAGATGGCATAATACAAATATAATAATATAAAAAATAAAATAATAATAATATAATAAATAACATAATCATAATTTATATAATAATAATCATAATTGTAGAGTTTGATACATTTTAATGTATGAATTATGCTATATAAAATATATTTAAACACAATACATAATTCTATAAGAACGATTACATATTAATACAAATGTAATTTATATATAAATTCTTTCTCTCTCTATATATATATATAATATTGAATTTATATTTTATTATTAACTAATACTAACATTTAAAGAATACATTTATATAGAGAGAATTTTCTTAATACCAATTACTTTTGTCAAATGTGAAACATTTGTGTTTTTATTACAATATTTCATAATATATGAATAGTTGTTGTTGTAATTATTATTTTTATTATTCAAATAAACACAATCTATCGTTTGCTGGAACATGTAAATACAATCTATCATTTGCTGGAACATTCCGGCCATTTCGTCCATTATAATTCGCATGTACCGTGCATCATTGTGAGAGAATCTGTGTCTCTAGGACCCGGAGGACGCGGCGTCACTGCAAAGGGACTTTTTGCTATCAGTGCACAGACAGACGGGCTGTTTACGAGCTCAGAGCTCAAAACAAGAGCACGAGAGCAGTGTGGCTCGATTTACCACAGGCTCTTCCTTTTAAACATCGTTTTCGTTTCGATTTGATTAGTCATGAATAATAATTGTTCTTGTTGTTAATAACATCGAGGAATGGAAATGTGTCAACTGCTGTACTTTGTGTTTCTGTTCTGCTCTGGTTTGGTGGACTGTTTGTCTGTTGTTGAAGGTAAGATCCCTTTCAACGTGTTGCAATAACTTTCTAAAAAAAATTTTATATATATATATATTATTTTTTTCACACCATTTTGCATTTTACATCAGTGTTTTTACATGATCACTCCATATCTGTTCATAACAAAGCATGTTTTTTTGGAAGAGTATTGATTATTGTTTGGTGTAGTAAATGTTGTAAATTAAACATGAAAATGTAACCACCTTATTCTAAATTGAATGGAACTGAAACCAGTCTTCTAAATCACACAGAGTGTATAACATCTAATGGAGAGGACTATAGGGGAATGCAACAGAAGACATCCACAGGGAATATCTGCCTCAACTGGAAGAGTCTAAACTCACAGACAGGTAACTTATGTTTCTACTTTTCATGGCATATTTTTACTATAAAATTTGAAATCAAACAACATCCCAAAACAATGTTATCATATTTGAGGAAATCAAGCTAGGATACATACATCATGCATATTTACAGACTGTATCCATTAATTAGAGAATGCAGTTTGCAAACTGTCAATGTTGCTGCTTATAGATTTTGTAAATTATAGTTATGTATGATGTGGGCATGCTGCCCAGATGATATTATGAGCCCAACTCAAAAAGCTGAGCAATCACTCTTCCATAATCCAGACAAGGGCTTTTATGGGGATGTGCGTGTGGGACACATGCTCACACAAACAAAATATGTTTAGATAGAAAATATGAAGTATCCATCAAATCCTATTTTAAATGTTCATCGTTTTGTTTACTTCTTGCCAGATGTTGGAGATCACAATTTCTGTCGCAACCCAGATGGTTCAGAGAAGCCCTGGTGCTATGTCTCCGGGTCCGATGGAGCGACCAGAAAAGAATCATGTGACATAAGGACATGCCAAGGTAGCCATATTCTCTCCTAATTAAACCAAATATTTTTTTTAAATCACAGCAGCTCATATACATTCATATAAATGTTCATTTTCTAAATTATTGACATTAAATTAAACTTTTTTTAATAAAATAAATATCACAAATCACTTGGTGTTTTGGGGGGGGGGAAGAGATAAACACTCCAGCATGAAATGCGATTTTGATTTAGGAAAGTGATTTATTTAACTCATGTCTTTCTCAGGCATTTCACAACTGGGTCTTACTAACGTGCTACTCTGTTTCAAAGATCTCATACTTTTAGCTACACGCTGTTTCTTCCAAGAACCTAGAGGAAGCTAGTTTAAAAATATTACATAATGCAGAAATGTGCAAACTTACTTTTTGTGGGAAAAAGCAAATGGCATTAAGAAAACATTCTCTAGGGACTGAACAAGGTCAGCACCAAATATTTTAATGCGTTCACTTTCCCTAAAGCTTACTCTAAACACTGGCACTAAACAAAACTTTTCTTGTGCTATTAATAATTTTTCCATAAGCCAGTTGTCTTTTATTTGGTTTATTAAAAAAAAAACTCTTATTGAGACTATTGGGCCATTTTTAATCCACGCTGATGGAGTTTCCTTAGAATTATCTTTTAACTTGACATGCTGCAAGGAGATATAACGTTGAACAATACGAGTCTAGACTCATCAGTCTTGAGGTTTCCTCAGCTGGGGCAGACAAAGAAACAAGCAAGGAAACTTGTTCTGCTGCTGTTCAAGAGAAGGGGTAGGCCTCGCCCTCTGGGATTCTGATTGGCCGTGAGCAAGATGCACACCACGGCGACAGCTACTGATTGGCTAGCTGAGCTGTGAACTCATGTTCTTTAACTCTGCTGGAGTGTGTAAACAACTTTTTCAGAGTAGAGGGTGGTGGAAAAATTCTGAGAGCCGGACCACAGCAAGAGAAGTAAATGTTTATTGTTCTCAGCTGTGAATTCTTCCTGTGGGACCTCTGAAGCATATCACATCCACCTAATGTCCTGTTTAAATAAAAATAGCCAAAATTTATCTCATTATGCATGCTTCAAAAAGAAAAGAAAAAAAAAGTCATAGTAATGGCCTGATGTGTCTAGTAAAGGCTAAAGCTTTGTTTAGAAAAGCATAACAGCACACTAGTATTTCTGGGTTTTGTGAATTGCGTTGACTCATTTCAGAATGTAATTAGCAATTATAATGACTGTTTGTGTTCACATACTTTGGTGGAGCATGCTTTCAGAACAAAAACTATTTTTTCACCCCATCTATTTTCTAAATGCATGTTATTGATCTGAATGATTCACCCATGCAAATGTTTCATTTTTAAAAAATTTTTAAAATCAAACTTCAGACAGACTTCTCTCTTGTGATGTATGCCCCACTTCTCCAATCATTTAGTCCACTTACATATCACCCCTTTCTTACAATCAACTACAAGCTCGCATTCAGTTCTGCCTCCATCCAATCAACAACCAATGGATAAAAAAAAAAAAAAATCCTCATCCTACTGTATGTTTTTTTTTTTCAATAGTCTGTTTCACTCTGGATGTCACAACAGGGATGAAAGCATTTGTTGCTGCTTATGTTTCATTGTGACTTGTTTTTTTTTTAATGACAAAAAAAAACATTGTTACAGTAGGAAAGGAATGGATGGTAGAGAACACAATTGTCAGTTGAGAGCACTCACTCCCAGACCACAGTAGAACTGTTTAGTATAAATATTTGGTTAATTAATGGGAGTGTAGAGCTTACATTAGCAGCGCAGATTGAGAAAATCAGAAAAACACTCATATCCTGTTCATCCTGTCACCCCATAGACCAAAACTCCACAGAAGCCACGGTTCCAAAAGAGTCTGTCCCCACTCAGGGACTCACCCCAAGAATGGTGGAGACCTTCGAAAATGCAGACTCCTTCCCCTCGCAGGTGGAGGGTGTGGCGGTGCAGCCCGTGAAGGGAGTCCGCCAGCAGGTCAGGAGTGGACCCAAGAAGAAGAAAGACCTTGGAACTCTTGGTAGGTGTTGGGTTGAGATTACTAAAACCTCAAACTACATTCAAGAACCGAGAAGATCATGAGTATACTGGTTGTCTTTGTTACCCTGGCAGGTTATGTTCTCGCTTTCTTCATGATGGCCATTATCATCCTACTTGGAGGTGGCATCACAATGGGATACTTCTACAAACGGTCAGTATAACCTGAAACACAATGTCCCATTACAGTGTGCACTTAAAGGGGTCATATGATGCGATTTCAATTTTTCCTTTCTCTTTGGAGTGTTACAAGCTCTTGGTGCATAAAGAAGATCTGTAAAGTTACAAAGACTAAAGTCTCAAATCCAAAGAGATATTCTTTATAAAATTTAAGAGTCAACCACGCCTACCTAAAACGGCTCGTTCTAACACACCCCAACATCATATGACCCCTTTAAGAATCAAGAATAGACAGATGATATCAATAGAAAAGGACAACAGACAAAATCCAGGCAAAAAAGGCACTTCAGTTCTTCAGAATGAGGAGACTTGAGATGAGATGTGTGGCCAGTACTTCATGTACAGTTCATAATAATTGTAGTTTCTTTTTGCTGGAGAGCACAGTTGTTCGGGATAGAGTCTGAACTTTTGAGATGTTGGTTTTGATCTACTCAGAGTAGCTCAGAGGTGATGTCTAAGGAACAGAAATAAAGGATGCGATTGGGTTTGCTACATGCTTACAAGGGAATAAAATGTTACGGATCACAAGGTCGGGCATCAGCTGGAAACACATACCAGGTTCATGTAACACTGTCATTTTAATGCCATTAGACACATGAGAGAGATGGTGAGTGGGTGTAAATATTGGAGACATCTTGACTGTCTATATTTAGGACGTTTAGAAGTGGGTTTTGAGTTTGGGGAGGAACAGAAGGACTCTGAAAGCTGATATCAATTGTTTTGTACATTTATAATCATAATGTACCCAAACCCATCTTAAACTAGATGTGCTGCAAATGCAGGTTTGTAAGCCAGCCGTCAAATTTGAGGCTTCACTGTTGGGTAAATCTTACATTTCACCCTAAAATCATTTTTAAAATAATTTATCTTATTGTTGGACCAAGTGAGATACATTATTCTCTGTCATAATTTATCAGAAGAAATACTGTAATACAATGACTTTTTTATTTAAAGACACTGTAACAAATACTACCATGAAAGGTAGTAAACTATGCTAAAACTAAATTAAATAAAATTTTCACAATACAAAAAAATTAATCTTGTTGGTTAAAAAATATGTTATCTTTATAATTTCCTTTTTTTTTTTTTTTTTACATTTTTGGTGAATATATGACATGGACATACTATTGGTGGGTTTCATGTGATTCACCCTCATGATGGATGATACACTTCTGAATTTAGGTCTGAAACCTGTAATATCTTGTCTCTATCTTGTAAGTAGTTTGGCTTGGCATTCGATAGCCTTGGGCAGCATGCACTTGTGCGTCAGCTGATAATGCGTGTATGTCATTGTTTATCTAGCGATTAATTGGCTCAGTATTAATAAGCAGAGGCAGGATGATGGGCTGAGAGGAGGGTTTACCTATAATACCAGGACAATGTCACCCACAGGAAACATGTTATAATGTAACAGCACATGGATCTCATATATTCAAACTCTTCTTCAGTGTCCTCAATCAAATGGTTAACTTTTTTGCAAGAGCGGTAGTGCTCAGTTCAGTTGTGATAAAGCAGAGCTCACTGCAGACACTCAGGAAGGAAAGTGCTGGGTAAGTGTAGGAGGATTGCATAACACGCCGCAAGTCTGCCATGCACAGTCTGAATGGCTAGAGATGGAGTGAAAGGAAGGATAAGACAGGGGCGTGTCCTGTAATATGACAGTTCTGCCGCATTCAGCTCCCATCGTCTTGAATCAGTAAAGGAGAGTGATCGAGATTGGTTTCTTCTTTGGCAGCAAATGACGAATTAGAGCTGGTCCTCTCCACAGTAGAACGCTAAAAATAGGTGATACTGGAGACAAATCACCCCTTCTGTCTGTAGTGCGTCACTGTTAAATATTACAGTCTAGCTTGAATGGATATATTAGAAATTGAAATAATCTTCAGAATATTCAAAGGAAATGAAGTGGAACCACTGCCGAATAAGTAATTCATTTTGATTATGTAATTCAGAGTCTGTGTTTCCGAGACAGAAAGTATGAATTTGGAAAACTCTCTTTGGAACAGTTAATTTAAAATCTTGGACTTTCGTTAAGTTTAAAAACAGGGTCTTAATGGTTAAAGTGCTATCATCTTTAATCAAAGACCATGAGAACATAACATATACATGCAATGGCGGCCTAAGCTCTTTTCCATTCTTCACCATTTCCACAGGGGTCGGGCACAAAGGATTTGACGTGTGAAAGCATAAAATTGCAGTGTAACATTTACTTTTTGTTTTTCAGGTCACAAAAACAAAAAATTTAACTTAAGAACTAGTACACTTTTAATCAAGCTTTTAATTAAATATGATTTTAATTACTTCAATGGTCAAAAGACTGTCTACTAAAGTCAGTCCTAAACCTAAGTATTCAAAATATATATATTCATTTACAAAAATCACTCCTAATATCCAGAAAAATATTATAAACCTCCTTATGTTATTTATGGCTCTAACGCGTTTTACACAAAAAAAAAAAATTTGAACAGCACTGTTTTATGAAACTTTTCACTCAAATTGTAATGCTGAAAAATTGGTCATGAAAAATATTTTATATAAAAAAATATATATTTAAAAAAAAAAAGATTTAAAATTTAGAAAGTAAAAAAAAAAAAAAAAAAAGCAAAATAAAAATATTTTTATTTGTGGTGTCTGCCTTTTATACCCCATTCTATTAATCATCCAGTTGATCAGTGACATAAACATGACGAAATCTTGGTGTTGTGGCAATGGTTGAAGTGAAATGGTTTTGTTTTTTGTCCCATAGGGGTCGTGACCTCAAGAAACAGCATGAGCAGCGGGTTTATGAACGTGAGATGCATCGCATCACTCTTCCCCTCTCTGCCTTTGCCAATCCCACCTGCGAGCTGGTGGACGAGAACACCATCGTCATCACGGCGGAACCGAACAACCAGACCCCCACTCAGGAGCCGGTCGAGGGAGCCGACCCCCTTATGGGGACGGCGGGGACCCCTGGAGCTTGATGGAGGAACAGGATGAGCGCCTGGAAAGGCGTCTTGTTAAGACTTGTCTATGCAGCACTGCAGAATCTGTGAGGACCAAACCCCACGTCCACCTCCCTCTGCCTGTTGTCTCTTTTCTCTTTACCTTGCCTTTACAGCACGGTTTCATGGTAAAGGCAGGGCATGTGCCCTGAGAGAGCGGTGGAAAGCTTTTTTTTTGTCCCAGACAGTGTCCTTATTTCCTCAGCAAAGTTGTTGAGGAAAGTAGGACATGTGGGGATACACTGGAAAAGGTGATATGGTGGTTTTGTATTAATATGCATGTCAGGGATTCGCCTGGAGAAAAATTGCAAGTACTTTTTGTGCATATCATCACAAGGCATGAATTTTACCTGCTTGTTGAACTCCATTGAGAGGGCGACAGTCCAGTTAACAGCTCCATGTCCTCTTATGAAGTGTCGATGGATCAGATCATCTGATGTTCTGGAGTTTTGAAAGAGAAGACAATCCATTCTTATCTTCTTTCCTGCCTTTTTCGTTGTTTATGTTCCTAATGCAGTTGTGGTGGAGAGTTGAAACTGAAATTGTACACGTGTAACTGAATCTGTTGCTCTACAGCTGGGCTGGTCATTCTTTAGGGAGTTTTGGTTAGCAACTACAGCTAATTGAGTTAATTGCCTTTGATAGCTCATTCATATTCATTAGGCAGATCATGTGGCCTGGGATGCTAGAGCTAAGCTAGGTGAAGGTTTTGACTAAATGAAGTGGAAAGCTTTCCAGAGATCTTGCCTTGCCTTAGTAAATTACATTTGAATGTATTGTTGTTCCTGTGGCCACAATCTGATAAGGAGCAAGTGAGTGCTGTCATGACTTCAGTAAACCAGTCAGAGTGAGTCTGATTAGCGGTCTTTGGTTACATTTTCTATATCAGTGTTCATTTGTTGCTGACCATACAGATGGTCGGAAATAAGACGATGAACTTTAAAGCATGAACCTGAAACAGAGAGAGTACAAGATGACGTATTAAAATAATGTACTATGGTCTCATTTTACAGAGATTTTTGTATTGTTTTTTTTTTTTTTTGATGTATGCATTTGTTTTCCCATGGTTGATTGTCCAACTGCTTGAGGTTTCAGAAGATCTTGTATTTTTATTTTTAGCAGTTTTTTACTGCTATGAAATAAAATCAGTTTGAAGACAATTATATTGTTGTCCTCTTTTGACATGTTCTTGCTGAATTTTACACTACAAGTTCATGACGTGTTCCATTAATCACTTAGTAGCTGGGTTTACTTTCCTGCACATTATGGGAGTAAAGGGGCAAAAACGTTCAGAATGGAAGATTTGCATACGGTATACACTGAATATTGCCTATTTGTTTAGTTGTTATAAAAAGTACATAATAATGATAAAAAAAATAACCGCTTCTATATAAGTATATATTTTATCCTTTTATGGATTATATTAAGAAATAATTCTGATATGCTGTTTTGGTACTTTACAAACCTATTTATTATAAGTTTCAAATTGTTGAGCTACTTGTCTGGAAACCGCGATAGTGTTTTTTTTTTCTTTTCTTTAACGTTTGAGATTTGAATAGAAACAGAACAAAGTAAAAAGTGTAAATTATATTCCACGTTTTATTTAAACTGGTTGAGTTACCCAGGTGCCTTTAATTGCCTCACACTTGCCACTCAGGATCACATTATCATAAACGATGAAGTGACCACGGCGTGTGGAATTTAATAACGGCCTCGGAAAATGTCCGTTACAGCAAGGATTCGGTTGCCCACTTTGGTTCGAAACGAGCCTTTAAAGTGCTTAAAAATGCCATTTGGAATTAGAGTTTGGAACCTATGCTAAACATGCAGAGCCGGGGATACACCAGGAGCAGGTTTGGAAAACACTGCACTATGAACTCATTCTGTGTTGTTTCGACTCAACAAGAGGCCTCTGTTATATTTAATTTATTAATCCAGTGAAATTACGGGGTCAAGAAAATGTTAAAAGTCGCAGATATAATGTCCAAGCCATTGTCACATAAAATGAAAGGTCAAGACAAGCAAGCACACTGCATTATGGGATACAGTTTTGGTATATTTTAGCAAATCTAGTAAGTCTTCTATGTATATATATATATATCAAGTCAGCATACTGTTAATAGTATAGATAGTATATAGTGCAGAAATAGTAACAGTTATGCTGTTCAGAGCATAACCAAGGTCAGCATCTTATACTTACACAACAGCGCCTCCCTGTGACTGATTAAACACTTACAAAAAATATTAAATTGTTAGTGAAAAAGAGAACAAATGAAGATAACTAATACACACTCATCTTTATTCATGAAACAGTAGAGTAAGAAATCCTGTGGCGTACAAGTAGTGGTTATAATTTTGTACATGTCAGTACCTTTGACATAAGACTAGAAAAAAAAAGCTCTTTTACAGCTTTTCACATTCTACAAACATATGCAAACTACAAATCCACATTATCCCAACACATGACTTCAAATCTATACAAACACAAACAAAATATATCCAGTTAATTTAAACGTTATTTGTAATCAAAGGAAGGATGACATTCATTTTCAAACGTCCTCACAAAACGTCGCTCGTTAAATTCTGCGTTGCAGACATTTTGATTACAGCCTGTTTCAGTACTGAGCTGAAAACTCTTAGAAACAGCCGGTCAAGATCCAGCATTACGATCTCACTTATTTCATTTGGAGAATACAACTCCAGAGCAGGTTTAGATACAGAGAAAAATTATCCTTGCCCTGTCATGTTATATTTACAAGGCGAGTCCATGACAGCGGAATAAACTCCAGTTTTCAAATAGCTGATGTACCAGGAATAAACTACCATGTAAGATGCATTTCCAAGAAGCCACACATAGGAAACCAAATCTGAACTCAGAAATGTTATTACTTCCTTTCATAAGAGTTTTATCACTCTCTGTCTTTGGATTATAAAGTTACAGAGGTCAGGACCTCAAGTGCTAGTGGTACAGAAAGAGTCAAGGGTAGTGCACTTAAGCACAACTACCTGCAGGGGGCAGGGTGGTTTAACAATGCTTGATTTACATAGCTTCAATATGGTAAGTCAATAGAACCTTCCATATTTTTTATAATTTGAAATAAGAGGTCAATCACCTGAAAACATATCCAGGTCACATTTAACCCTATTTTTTAAAATACATTTCGCTTTTACATTTCCATGACAGTTAAGCACATTCCCCCTAAATTCATTCTTTTTTAATTTAAATTTTATCTTTTTTTAATTCTCAATCTTCTCGAAGATGTTTTTATTATTTAAATTAGCATAAACAATACAACTTTAAATATCATTACTGAGAATCTGGGAGGGGATGTGCATAACTATCTTAAAGGAACACTCCACTATTTTTGAAAATAGGCTCATTTTCCAACTCCCCTAGAGTTAAACAGTTGAGTTTTACCGTTTTCGAATCCATTCAGCCGATCTCCGGGTCTGGTGGTAGCACTTTTAGCTGTAGCTTAGCATAGATCATTGAATCTGATTAGA